ATCTGCTCACTTGTGTCTTTTTGTACATTATCTAAGCTCTTTAATGTACTACTGGCACTTACAGCGTGGGAATTTCAACGCTGTCATCCATTTCCTCAACATTTGCCTCAACTTTTTTTAAATGTCTCTGTGATTTCTCCAATAAGTTGGCTATCATCTGGAATATCATACACGGTATCCTCTTCAGGAATAAATAGAAATTCATTAACTGGCATTGGGTCTGAGGGATTAAGCTTATTAATTGTTTCACTCAAGCCCTCCTTAGACGCATACAGATAATTGACATAAACAACGATTATATATGACTATCCGTTGTTCCTTAGTGGCCATCGCTTATGCATGCAACACAATACAAACGATTAAATTTCCATTTACAAAGAGATATTAATCACGTGTGTGCATTTAGAGAACAGTTTATACAGACGGAACCGAAAAATTACTGCACGTGCAGAATAGAGGGGTGTGCATTTATCACTAAGTCCCAAGCTCGGGACCATGTCAAACCGTGCATTTCGGGAGGGTGTGCATTTAGAAGGTTTTCTCTGTAATGAACGGAAAAACGTTATTATTATCTGATATGTAGTGTTGATCGTTGCACATCAACAAGAAAACTGACAACCTCGCATGAAGCCGAGTTTGCTAAAGACTTTTCGAACATTGAATTATTGATTATTACATGCTTCTTCATATATTCTTCTTGAGAATCATTTATTCATGTAATGAAATACGGTCCTGTTTCTTTCCTAGAGAATATTTATTAACTATAATTAACTTTCCGCCAAAATTTCATACTATTTTCCATTGCAAATATGATAACAATGCAACAATAATGATAAACGTTTTTTTTGCGCCAAGACTTGACCATCTCATAAACTCATACCAAATATGGTTATTTGCGCAAAACGTGTTCTGAGGATTGGCTTATTCTCCACGGCGATAAAAATTGATAATCAGGCATTTACCGGCCAAGGTCACACAGCCTGCCAGGTTGTAGAATAGTATTTGAGCCTGTACAACGAGCCCTGATTATCAAAAAATGAATGCATGCATATTGTTTTGCCGAAATCATAGCTCGGTCCCGCTAAATTAACTGGTTTCACAAAAATATCCATATAATGCCGACTGCGAGAGGAACGAAAACCTCACCCAGCTTGAAATCTCAAAAGCAAAGTCAATATATCCAAGATGCATCTCCTTCAAAAGGCCATCATGATTACTTGCCTTGCAACATCTGTCCTCTCGCTCCCGAATAGCCACAATACCGGGAAGCGAAGTTCGGGTGAAAAGAAAATCGAACATGTTGTTCTCCTTTCTTTTGACGGTTTGCATCAATCGGATGTCGACGCGTACGTTAAAGCCAACCCAAGTTCTGCTATTGCCACCCTTCTCAAAACATCGGTGGAATTCGACAATGCCCAAACTTCGAAACCAAGTGATTCATTCCCCGGTTTAATAGCACAGGTCGGCATTTATCCGCATAATTTCTTATTTCTTAAGTTATTATATTAATCAATGCTTGATAATCTATATTTACTAATCACAGGTGACAGGCGGTTCTCCGAAAACTACTGGCGGTATGTTATTGCTCCTTATTATTACGATTACGACTAGCATCAATTAGATATTAATACGCAAATTTCTAGTTTTCTATGACGTCTCCTACGATAGAACCTTCTTTGATCCTGGCTCCAATTGCACAGGCACACCAGGTGCCGTAACTGCTTACGACGAGACCATTGATTTTAATTCTACCGCTCTCGTCACCTCGATAAATCCGGCTAACCTTCCGAAAACACTCAAGAATGGACAATGTGTAGAAGTCACCCCACATGAATTCCTTAAAGTCAACACAATTTTCGAAGTTGCCAAAAAGAACGGTTTCTTTACCGCTTGGACAGACAAACATCCAGCCTATGACATAGTTAATGGCCCTTCTGGACAAGGTGTCGATGACTTGTATACTCCGGAAATTAACGGAATCAATACCGTCGAACCCGACATACAAGTTTATGACACACTTCATCTTAATGCTATTCTTAATTGGTTAAAAGGTGTGAGTAGCACTGGAAAAAGCATTCCCGTTCCTGGCATTCTTGGTGGAAATTTCCAAGTTATTAGTGTCTCAGAGAAAGATTCGGCCGGTGGATATCTGGATACTGTGGGCCAACAACCATCCGATGAATTGAAAAAAGCCCTAGACTTTTGTTTGAACTACACCGTGGGCCAGATTGCAGATACTCTTACAAAACAAAACCTCACAGAA